TTAATTTAATTTAATTATATATATATATATATATATATATATATATATATATGTGTGTGTAAACAGTATAAAATATTTCTTACCATACGTCATTATAGTACAATTTTGTCCAGCTAAGAAGTCTATTATTTGCTGCTGTACTGTTTGTTTGAATAATTCTAATTGTGTAGTTTCTGGTCCAAAAGTTTGTGAAAAAGTAAATTTTCGGCAGATTATTTCATTATTTTTGGACTGTTTAGAACTTGTATTATTATCTACCATTGGTAGCTTTGTGAGTAATGTTGTAGAATTTAAAATTTTGTATGCTTCTTGTTGTTCTTCTGTTAATTTCATCTTTTTGGAAATGGTTTAAGTCTAAGATATACTTTAATAGTTTGTAAAGTTGGAGAATCCGAATGTTCAGATAATTCATTGTCATTAATTTCTTCAATTTCATATGATGAAAGTAAATTCTTTCTTGCATCCTTTGAAGGAAATGGCCTCTGACTATATGCTAAAATACTTGGATCTCTACCAAATAGATATGACATTTCTTCCTGTGGATTCTCTGATGGATGAATTGAATCTAATGTATTCTCCATCTGTATTAATTTAACAAAATATATCATATGATAAAAAGAGAATAATACATATAATAATCCTAAACATAGAACATAAACATAGAAGCATAATTTAATCAACTATACCCAGTCAGCAAAATATTAGCAGAATGTCGGCAAACTGGCAACAGATTTAATCAGAAAATGTTAGCAAACTGACTTCATCTTATTCTGCTTACATTCTGTTGACAGAACCTGTTGACGTTCTGTGTCAGCAGACTGTGACAGCAGAAATTGAGCAGATCCTGCCATCAAATTGTGTCGTGCAGGTCCTGCTCGCTTTCTGCCACCAATCTGACTACAGCAGGGTCTGCTCGATTTCTACTGCCAATCTGCCAGCACAGAATGTCAACAGAGTCTGTCAGATTTCTAGCAGCAGTTTGCTAACATTGTCAGATATTACAGAATCTGTTAGCAATCTATGGGCTTTCTAACAGCAGAAATTTATAACAGACTTTGTGCATAATCTGTCTTTTCAGGTTTGGCTATCAGGATGTGTATGTGTGTGTGTATATATACATAATGTATATGTACATAAATATAATGCTTTTATAAATATTTTTAAAACCATTTGTTCTAAAATATATTCATTGCAAAAAGATATCCTCAAAATACTAAAGGTTCTTTGATAATAATCAACTAAGCATCATAGTAGAAATCAAGAAATATATGCAGTGGAAATATTAAAAGAAATTATTAAAAATTTGTACGAAAAAAAGTCAAGTTCAATAAATGCTTTGGACTTGTATTTGTTTTGAATAATTGATCCCAGTTAATCACTCACATGATCACTTTTGCAAATAAAGTATTCAATCATTCATATTTTTACAGAAATCTGTACATAATTTGAAAGTTCTTCAGTTTAAACTTAAAACAAGTTGTTTACAATCTCGTTTAAAAACATACCTTATTAGGAGATTCCATTTACTTAAAGATAATTTAAAACAAAAGATAGATAATTGATCGCTAACCATATAAACCAAGTGATTAGTATTAAAAAAGGTGGATATCAACTGCGTAAAATCAACATTTATTTTCCACACATTAGTTTGTACCGCGTTGCTCGTCGCGACAAAACGACAAACGGTCATTTAATTCTTGAATTTCGTTTGGAGAGATGCTTTAATGGGATTGGTCGAACAACGATGTTGTGATTGGTTTAGAATAATTTTAAGTAAGTAACCATTGATCTAAGAGATCGAAGAGAATACTTTAAATCTAAAAGAATAATCACAACCATCCAATTTTTTGATTGGTTAAAAATATTTTGAAAGAATTTTGGAGACCTGAATACTTATCATGTAATTTTTTTCTTAAAGCCACTTTCACCAATAATATAAATTAATTTAATCGACCGATTATTGAAATTGATCGATCATATTTGTTATCAAATTTGTGGATGAGTTGCGATTAGTCAATTCCCATGAAATAATCGGCCGATTAAGGTTTATGGAGGCCGTAATCTGTTAACTTATGCCGTAACCGTAAAAAATTGACGAATCATAGTCGTGATTATTCTTCTATAATTTGATTGTGATTGATCAATTTTTTACGATTACGGCATAAGTTAACAGATTAGGATGGGGCCTGTTTGACCACGTTGCAATAGATCACCAGCCACTCATATCATTTGAACAGAGGAAAACCTCTAGGCACCGGCCGCTGTGAGTGGCTGTGGTCAATCACAACGTGGTCAAACGGGACGCTCCCAACAGATTACGGCTTTCATAAATCAACCCTAAATTAATTCATATTATTCCATTGTAGATGGTCCTTAAAACATATGCCATTAAGAGCCTCTTTCAACCAATTTTCAACCAATCTTCAACCAATTTTCGGTTAAGCTAACCGACGATTGACTCGACCATCATGATTGCCAACAACTGAGAAGTAAATTATTTATTATACATAGATAAGTATTAAAATTTTTGTTTAAGTGAATGATTGTTTAATAATTTTTATTTATGGCTACGGTCCACTTAGCACTACAAAAGTTTCGAAGCGTTTGATTAACCAATCAGAACAAAGAATTTTATGAATTGACCAATCAAAAAATGCTTCGAAGCATTTGTAGCACCAAGTGGACTCACATTAATTA